CTGATTCTGCCGCCTCTTTCTGTATTTACTCTTTCACTTGTTCCTGTGGAGCAAAGTATGTTGACCGCACGACCAGGCGTCTGTCCGACGGCATCCGTGAGCATCACCCTGCGTGGTTGCGAAGTGGAGCAATTAAGTCAATCACAAGTGCCGTCGTATCGCACCTTGTCGACACTAATCACATTGTAAACGTGACCGAAGCGTTCCGACCCCTGTATAGAGTTAAGACGGGATGGTCCAGACACGTGCGGTTTTGCATTCTAGCCACAGCGGAGGCAGTTTCCATCCGTCTTCACAACCCCCCTCTGTGTGCTCAGAAAAAAATTTGTGCAAGCACTCAAGCTCCCATGGCCGGATCGCCGACAAGTGACTTGCTATGCAACATCAGAGCAAGTGATAATTGGGGACCAATTATGAAACAAACTCTTGAATACTTTAATTACTTTCCCTCTCTTTTTCCTTGTAAATCCTTCTTTGATAATAGTCATATTTATTGTTTTTTTCTAATGGCATGATTAAGACACGAGCTTGTTTGCCAATTTGTGTTCTCATTATTCGCATTGTGCCGACGACAGAGCCTGACAGTTTATCGTTGATCGATCGGTTTGTTACTGTTGTGACCTGTGACAACCCGCCTTCTTTGCCCTGATTTGTCCTTTCGTTGTATGGTGGTTTACTTCTGACTGATATCAATGTGTCTGTTGACCGAGTTTTGCGATGAATGCCAAGTTTTCAGAAATTCTTCTGCGTGCTTGGTAAGGGCCTAATCGATGACTTTGATGTTTTTGAAATCGAAATTGTGTCATTGGTCCTCGTGAGCTGAGATGAGTGAGAGCGCATCGTGTCTCTTGACGGCCACTTTGTGGCTGTGCACGCGAGTTGCTAGGGTTTTTTCTGTTTGCTTGGTGTAGTGTTCGTTGCAGTAGATGCGGTGGATCACATTTGTTCGATTTTAATATTTTTGGTTTTGGATAAGATCATCCGTAGGATCGCCGTTGGTTTTTGGGCTACTTAACTGTCGTGTGGCTTCAGCATTCTCCTGGTTATTTCGGAAATGTCCTTCACATACGGTAGGGTTATTCACTTTACCATTTTGACTGGAACGCCATATCCATGCACTACCTCGCAGAATGACTCGCAGTAGGATACCGCGTGATATTGGATGGAGCTTTAAGCGACATGGCGTTGGAATTCGTGTTAGTAATTTAAAAAATAATAATACAGGTGATGATGAAGATGAAAATCTCATTGATTTGGCCTATGCCGGGTCAGAAGCCTCCTTGGCTGAGCCGACAGCGTTTACGGCTCACTGTGACAAAGCGCTTCACTACGAGCTGAACTAACTGTTCTACGTCCACAACTCTAGGACTAGTCATCGTCATCATTGTACAACGAGATACAGTGAAGCGAACTTCACCGATCGCTGCCAAGCTCACAATGTACAAAAATTAAACGATAAAGCACAAGATGGAGAGGGATTGAGCCTAATGAGAGAGAGACAAAAATAGAGAAACTCTGATCATCACAGGGTACACAATCTAAGAAGAATTCTGACCTAATAAGAAATGAAAACAAGAACGCCATCGCTGTCGGTTAGTCGTCATATCCTTCAGTGTCTCCAACTAGCCAGTTGCAGAGTCTTTCGGATTCCAATCTGGAAGAGGGGAGACCGATTCTACCTGATCGCTCTGTGCATTTCTTCATACCGCGTCATCTGTTGACCTGCACGCGGTTTCTTCCAACCTGGACCCGCAACTGCAAATGAGGTGCAGTGTGGCAGACGGTGGCTGGGCATGTGCAATACGTAAATATTCACAGTCGAAAACCTCTAGACGACGAATATCTTCCACGAGCAAATTTGGGGTCTCTCAGTCGTGGAACAGAACTGACCGCACATTGGCGCAGTATACACGACCTTTCGTTTTCAACGAAACCGCGTCTGCACTAAAGGTATTTCAGTCCTGCGTATGCAGGTACAGCGACCTCAATAGGTTTACATACTTGCGCAGCATCCTTCTTAGAAACACCGACCCCACGGTTAACTGAATCGAAGGCTTCTTTTTTAGGTCAAGGAATACTGCTATTTTTGCCCGACGATGCGTGTGTGTGTGACGCAGTTCGAGGATTTGACGCAGAGTGAAGATTTGGTCGATATAATCGCACTAAATACTTCGGCTGAGAACCCTAGTGACCGTCGCGCATAGTGTCCGCACTCCCGAACAGTAGCTGTCCATGGATATCAAAGGAATACACGTGCTATGAAGAATTCCATACTGCATTTATCGTTGTTGTTGTTGTTGTTCATGGTGCTCGGAACTGCACTGCTCATTTTGTCAACCAGTTTTGGTAGTGATACATAGTGTACTACTCAGATATCCCAATATCTGTCCTATTCTTCTATCCCCATTGTTCCCCCATGTCCCATGTATAGACGTGTAGAAATCCTTGAGGAAACATTTTGCCCCTCGTTGTTGCTCGTTGCCAAATGTATTGTATATATCGTCATCAATCTCTGAATTAGTCTTCAAAGTGAGGACTCTCGTGCAGCTGGGTCATCGATCTTGACTAGTGCATTCAATGTACTCCTAAAAATTGATTCGTTTGAACATCGTTGCTACGTATTCACCTTGCTAGTTGTATAGGCCATTTAATTGCGCTGGGTATCACCCCACAGCCCAGGACACGGTGACTGCCATTCAGTTTTTCGTTGCGGATTAGGTATTTTATTAAAGCATTAAGCCAAACTCTTACTTACCTTGTCAATAGTTGTTTATGTGTGAAACGGCATTAGGACTGAATTAATGTTCGGATGGAAAACAACAACAACAAAAGTGCATACGCTGGGCAATTATAGTCCAGATGCACAATTTACTTGCTCCAGAAAGTGAGTTCAATTCGAAGGTTTGAAAAGAGCCTCGGGAGACTGTCTAGAGGCTCATTGAGATCTGCCCGCGATCGACCTCTCCAGTTCTGCGCATACTTCCAGATGTTTTTATCCAGTAGCAATTTTCGATACAGCACCTAACGTAATAATCTAGTACAGCGTGTGACCTGGCTGGAATCAACCATTAGTTTTGATTTGCTTTGACACACTAGTCACCGAAAAAGTACAAACCCTTGTGGTCCAGCTGGCTATTTCGTACCGTTTGTGAGGTAGATCCAGGTAGTTGGACAACGTGTGGTAGCAGACAGACTATGTGATTTGGTTAGATGTGCCATGCCATTGGAAGCGATCGTTGTTTGTGGATTCGATTCAGAAATGTTCCTCATAGTAGTCGTTCGGTTCAATACCACGCCTTACCTAGCGTCATGTGGTTCTCCACTCCAAGTCCCGGGGCTTAGGTTACCAGTTCCCACCACTTAACAGCAGGTCCTCGTGACTGTGGGGTTCGCCCCGTCTTTTGTTCATCACACTTAGGTGTAATTGAAAAAATGTATACCTTTTAAGAATCCGTAGTCTTGATGCAGAAAAAATGACTAATTTCTATTAGGGAGGTTTGTGCCGTCTGCTACATCTGTTTACAGTGAGCCTAAAGAAGGGCCGCTGATTCTGGTGAATTGGAAGTGGCCTCTACGTCAGGGGATAGTCAAATAATGCTTCAATCATACGACAGAGCCCGATAAACTGAAAAACCATTCACGATAAAGAGAAAAAGGGCTTCCTCACTGTAGGAGTACATTGGCAAACAGTTCTGCCAGTTTGGCGCTGTATCTGCAGTCACATGTCACATGGTCTTGCAACATAAGCAAAGCACGGTTTTTCATGGAACTGACTAACACTAGCTTTTTGTAGTTCGATAGTCACAACCCTATCTTGTCAAGCATTAAGAGCCAAATAGAAGAGCCTGTATGCTGCTACTTGTCACGAGAAGGATGAGGTCATTTATCAGAGAGAGAGAAAACCTTAGTGGAATCTTTTTGTGCGGCGATCGTTAGCTGGTTAAGCTACATCCGGTTCTCGTGATGGGACAGGGATAAGAATAGCAATGCTTTGCCGTTACTTTGATAGCGAATAACTTTTTCACCGGATACATATCGCTGGTACATTTCTTTGTGGAACTAATAGTGTTAGTTTAGAACAGACTTTATTGAAAGCAGCCTCAATAGGAAATCAGAGAGGCAGTTTATACATACATGCTTCAATTTCATGGATTTTTTCGTCTTCACTTTTCCATGGCTCATATTGAATGGATGAATAAGAAGTAGACCTTATGAGATACTTCTGTCTCCCTTGGCGCTCGCTTCCAGCAAACTATTTTGCCCTTTACCTAACGCGAAATGTAGCTCAGAGGTCGCATCTTTCAGTTAAATTTATCTGGGCGAAGGAGATAAAATGACCATATTGTTTCAGAGCTTATAATTTTAAGTTCTGTGATGAGGC